TTTTTTTCACTGGATAGGTCATTATACAGGCCCGTAGGAAGCAATTTGGGAGTAGGGGGAAATAAGCAGTCGGTAGCCACGGATATTTGACGAATTTTAGTGATTTTTTTTATTAAGTTATTTGATAGGCATCGTCCTCCTGTAAAATGACTTTATATATGTTTTGTAATGTTGTAATAAAAAAATGAATTAAACAACGAGAAACAAAGAGTAGACAAGAGTACCTATTTTATTTTAAAACCTGTTTTCCATGGCATCTTATGTTAATACATTACAATATACCAATTACTAGATCAAACCACATATAATGTGCAATATTGTGTAAATTATAGATGCTACCAAATATCATTAAGCAACGAAAGTACCAAATATATTAAAACGGTGTTCGTTGTTTACACAAAACTCATTGGCAACTTTGACAAGATCTAAAGCATCTGTTTTGTCATTGTGGATATGCAAAAAAAATACAATGATTGAGACGGACTTGAGACATAGTAGATCGTAAGTATGTCTTAATGCACCGTAATGCACTGAATGATCATTCACTGACAGCATTTGTTGCAGGCATAACTAACACAAGATTGAACAACTTTCCAACCTCATAAAATAGTGACTTCTGACTAGAACTTAATGATTTCCAATAGTTTAACACTTCATGAAATGTTTTCAATGTTGTTGATTCGGTCTTGTTTGATTCAAGTGATGTTGAGAACATAGACAAATTGGATTCCAAGTTATGCTTATCAAAATCACCTTTTTAAAAATCAGTAATTAAGTGAAGTTCATCAGATATATATTCCGCCACTCTCATTCAGTGTGAGGCGGAAGTTTTTGTCGCAATGTTTTTCAGTAATATTTCTCAATCAGAAGACATTTTATTAAATAGGCCCCTACGACACATTTTCTTGGGAAAAAGTGGGGGGGGGGGGCAAGCTTAAAGCTTTCTTAACTCCAGTACTTCAAGCAAGTATTCAAGTAAGCAAGTAAATATACAGTAGAAAAATCGTATACTGTAATACAAATACAAATATCATCTAAACTAAAGAGGGCGCTAGACAAGTATTTTCGCTTGTCATAGAATCGTCGCAGTATCTGAAATACTGTGTCTTCCAAAAACAAAATAATATTTTCAAACTTAAACTAATTGAAAAAGAATCATATTAAAATTTGCAATAATTATGTTAGGCTACATTAAACAGAAGATATCATAAATATAATTTTTAACTAAATTTTAAGATGAATATTCTTTTAAAAGGATTTTAAAATAAGATACTGTAATTTTTAAGTTAACGTTTATTACTTTTCAAGACAAAATGTTAACTTAGTTAAATTTTATACACTTTTTAATGCTCTTTTGAACAAACAATTAAAAATAGATACATAATGATATATTTATATAGGTTTATAAGAAAAAAAATGTGTATCTGGACATCTCTGGATCCGCCCCTGTATCCTATTTATATTGTTCATCATAGAGCGGTTAGGTATTGTTTTTAATACGGTTCAGTGGGTTGCTGTTGTGACGACACTTAGCGACTAGTTCGGTTCTTTTGTATATGTAGATTGTTTTGCCATCATTAGGATTTGCTAAGGTTGCACTGGGCCAGATTTACGTTTGTGTGTGTTGGATTTCTTAATGATTTCCCATTTCAGAGAGTATTTATAGCCCTTTCTTTTTAATTCTCATATGTGTTTTAAGAGTTCTGTTTCTTTTTCATAATTTTCGTGCCTGAAGGACTTTGTGTTATTATTGAATCGTTGCTTGAATGCTCCGCCTTATAGTCCAATGTATGAGTCGGAAGTTATTGTAGCCCTATATATCAGTGCATTGTTTAGGCTTTCGCCGCGTAGTGGACAGTTCTCTTTATTTCTGCAGTTGCATGTTTTTGGATTTGTTGCTTTAACTTCTTTTTTGATGATTTGCGAGTTGTGTCCCTTGATGACGGAATTCATGTTTTTCATGCAGCCGTCACTTATTTTCACGTTGTTTTGTTGAATATTTTGTGGATGTTAAAGAGAACGGAGAGAAGAAGCACCGCGACGCCTAAAAAGCCATAAATGCGATGAACGTTTGTACCACACCAAGTAGGCCTACGAGATGCCAGTCCTCTTTTTATTTTTAATTTATTTATGAAAATTCGGTACCATGTACAGCTGTGGGTTAATATTACGCATGGTCATTGTGTCAAAAGTAAAGAAAAACTTAAACAATAATATTGTTATTATCTTATGACCTACATTGCTTGGGGAAATCCGTCACTGGACAAACAACTCATTACAATTATATCACTCTCTCATTCTAATTCCTATATACATGACTTACCATAGTATTCCTGACCTCTATATACATCACTTACCTTAATACTTGCTTGTTTCGTATTATTGCATCTATTTTTTTAATTACTGTACTGCATACTTAACAATGCAAAAAAACGTATTGCATTTATTTTGTCTATATTTTTGTCTTTGGTTGAGGTAGGTGTCATTTCTGATATAGTTGAAATTTCGCCAGACTACCAGGCACTTCATATTAAAAAATACTTTATCTCTCACTCTGAACTTCGCCATGGCAAACGGTGCGAAGGTCTGGGTCCGTGTTAAATATATACGGTACAATGAGAACAAATGTAATTTCTGATACATTTTTTCGTATGCTTTTAGTTATTGTTGTGTTATTGAATGACATGCCCACTGCCTACAATAATATGTATACTGGTACTGTATAATAATAATTGTATAACCATGGCGAATATATTAGATTGTAATAGAGTGTAATTGTGTGTAGTACTTTAGATAGTACACAGCTGGCCTCGTTTTGGTAAGCCTGCTACATCAGCTGCACCATATAAATTTTTCCCCCATTTAGGGCCGCCTACTACTCCTTCACCTTTGCTATCGCCAGAGGTTAATGACTTCGGTTAAATCATTTAATTTTATTACTGCTTGACAGTCGATAATAAAATAATGAAAACAATAAAATATTATGAATTTGCGGGAGAGGTTATTTCCGGGAGATTCTTGCTTGCTTGTCAGATTTCCAAAAGAATCCCGCGAGTTCCGGGACACCCGGGACCTCTGAGAATGGTAAGCCAATTACGACGTTCAATATAAATTTCAAGTGTGGCCCAAAGATGACCAATTATTCCCTAAGTACCTTGTAGATATATTTTCCTCAGTTGATCGCATGCTATTTAAAATACAAATGTTTTCAGAAATGTTCACTTTCGGTTAAATGTATAGTCACAGTGAATATAGTCACAAATACAAATGTTTCCACGAAATATAAATCTCGATTAAACGAATAATCACAGAGCAATGAACTATTTAGGCATTATTACTTTTTACAGAGCATGTTGGATACTGTCTTATCTGTCCGATTATGAAAGAATAAAATCATTAATAAAAACAGTTTTGTTGTCTTGTCTTTTGTTCAGCAATGATTACGGTACCGTCCTGTTACAAATCATTTCATGACATAAATAAGTTAATATCTATGTGGCCTGAATGGATGATAGAAAAGCGAGTCATTTCAGTCACTCAATATTTAACTTGTTGATGATGGTTCCCATTAAGCATGTTCTTGCATCCGTATGATGGGTCTTGTTATTAAATAACAGGTCGGCATGTGAGAAAGCCCGACAACAATGAAAGTATAGGCCTGTCATCAATATTGAGAAACACGTCCAATCGTAATCGACTAAATCATTTTTTTTTTTTGTATTGATAAGATGATTGATAAGATATTACATTTAAAAATATATATATATAGGTCTACATAACATTAGCAACATTACAAATATGCAAACGCAGACATATTCTAAATATATTCAACTCTGTATTTGAAATAAAATAATCAGTCGGTGGTGTTGTTCAATCCAATGATCTTTATTCTTTTCACAATATTATTTACACTCGGACATTTATATTAAGATTTAAGACCACTGAATTTCGCGTGCCGCTACAGTCTAGCGCCACCAACGACACATAATCAATCAGCTTAAACAATTAAGCAGACAATAAACATGAATGTAAACAGGAAACATAATGGACAATTGATTATTGATTGATATTATATTTCAATCGGAATTTTATTGATTTCATAACCAAATGTTGCTGGAGTAGTTATGAATATTTACATTAAAATTTGAAAGAAAGAATTAATATAGATACATGTAGCATATGTACCAATTTTTTCGTCAGTTTTCCTCTCTTGTGGTTTATTTATTTTAATATTTTTATGTATACTACAAATGAAAACTTAAAAATATAAGAGAAATATGGAATAATTTAACAATGGGGTGGGAACAATGGATGTAGACTTTTTTACAACTTCTAAATACCAAGCCTATTAATGATAAGTACAGATTTTCAATACATATTTTAATTTTTTTTATATATAAAATAAAAACATCATAATATAACATTAAAATAACAGTACTATATTTCATCAAATAAAAAAAATGTAAACCTTTTTGTGAAATTTTCATAAATAACATGTATAATATTTTTAAAAGATGGATATTAACAGAGAAAAAAATCAGGCAATCATGAGGTTATTCATCTGAACAAGACGTAGACATTTTTTTTTGGTAATATATAAAGCAACATCTTAAATTTCATTTATAGCTTGCAATAGATGCTTTCATATAGCTCAAGTCAATCCATTATTCAAACTAAATTTTCTAACATATTCTCATGTTAGTGCAGCAGTAGATTTAGATTCACCTCACAACTAGAGGTAAAAGCAATTTTAAAAACACAATGGAATCATGTATGTCTGTTCTGAATCTGGGTGCGTGGTACCATGCAGGAATCTATTGCGTAAACTAAGTCAGAATTGTTTGCATCAATGCTTCAGAATCAGTATCCACCTTAGCAGTACCACAACAAAACTGAGTAAAAATAAATTGGATAAAATCAAACTGCACCTTACTGTGCAACATTAGATACTACTTTTTAAATTAATGATTTATACGGATATGAAGTTTTGCATAGCATTAAAATTTCAGCTAAAATCAGTTTGAACAAATAATTTACATAAAATTTGCACCATGCAAATGGTTTTACAAATCATTTTATGTCGTAAATAACATAAGTTAATATCTATGTGATTGAAAAACAGATATTGAGAATATATAATACTAGGCATGGTAGTGAGATTAATCCTTTTCTCTAATAGGGGTGTATAATAATCTAAGGAATTTGGCTTATAGTCACTGTTGCCAACACCAAGAGGCATTACAAATTTAAAAGATGCGAATAAGCTTGCTAAAAACATTATTTCATTGTCTATTAAAAAATCTCTATAACAATTTTGGGTCCAAAGTAAGTAGCTGCATTGGCATCATATAAATATATCAAATATCTGAGCATTGTAAGGTGCAAGCTTTTGCAGAGGTTAGTTACCAGTTGGCTTGCTTCTGTCACTTCTTTTTTGTAAGTGTTCATTAAATAAAAAATAATGATCCTAAAATGTGTATATTTTTTATATTTTTGTTAAGATTAATATATATTATGACATAATATTATTCTATTTTACCTTCAAAGGAAAAAATATATATATAAAAACAAATTAATTAACTTTCTGTACATTTTTTTGTCTCAGATATTTTTTAATATTTCTGATACATTAAAATAGAACCAGCACACAAGTCCTATGCAGCATTGGCCCTTAACATGTATAATTTTTAACACACAAGTTGTTTAACACTCAAAGCTCCATCTTAGTTTACTTTAGATGTATCAACATATGATTTACATTTTTACAATACATCTCTCTTCAGAAAAACATTACACAATCATTCATGTATTTTAGAATAGCATACAGTTTTATATATACATGCTTGTATACACATACACGAAATGGTCCCTGAACATAGATTATGAGAATGTATTAAATCAAATACATTTAATTTTAAATAATCCATAATTATATATCAACACTAAAGTATATATGAACACATAAAGTTTGACTAATCAGAAAAGTTTTTCTTTAAAAGTTAATTATTATAATATATGTATTTAAACAAAGATTTTTAAGGAAAAAAATCTTAATTACATATGCAATTTAATTTATATAGCTTTAGAAGAACAGACAATTTAAAAATTATATAATCTAAATTCATTAAATTAGCAAAGAGGAGTATACTTACAAACTATGCAATTCATGTTCATGATCATAAAAAAACATATTTTAATTCAGTGCCATTAGTTTGTACACTGAATTTGCGAACGCTACGGAAATGTAACCGAGATCTTTAAACCTTAATTTGCAATCATCTCAAAATGGCCCAGATATGTACAATTCAATTTGCAAGCCTCATAAAAGGCCCAAGGCTGTGTAATGTTCGAGCAACATAAAATAGGCCCGGAATCTGTATTATCTATATTTAAACATGATAAAAAGGCCATGAATGTGTATAATTAATATTCAAAAACATTAAAAAAGGGCCAGTCATCTGTATAACATGGAATGAACTTGATATTTATTGGTGGGTTGGATTGGCAACGGACAGCACTCGGGATGACGTTCAATGCCTGTTGCAGCTTCTTCATTACATTTACATACTGTCAGTACGCATTATATAAACTCACATGGGAACATGTGTATCACACACATACACACATTGTTATGTGTGTTGACCACCGAGTTACACTAGAGTCTCTTCTATCTGCTCTATATGTAGCCGTATTACCTCTACTCCTTTCATTATTTTCTTCTGATGACCTACAAGTGTGACCCCTAACCTTGGGAGGTCACTGTGTGATAGGCGTGCAATCTCACCAAGTTTAAATAATCCAGCATCTGCAAAATTCTCCTTGTACCGTCCCATCTTGATATTGTCAAGCCAATCATCTACTGTCTGGATCTTACTAAACTGTGGTGCCGTATGCGTTAGGCTCTCCCTGTGAAAAAGAGTCGAGCAAATAATTAAAAAAAAATATTAATTAACACAAAAGACACAGGAAAAGAGTACCTGTCTGTCAATAAATCCTCAGAGTAAAACAAGACAATAAAAAAACAAGCTGATAGTGTTGCTTAGTAGGCAGATACCCTTGCTATATAAAATGTGAATTATATAATAAAAAATTAATAATGCATCGGTTTTGGTGTGGACCTTGAGATCAAGGGTTATTAAAATATATTATAAGTCAATCGTGACGTCATCGCTTCAACTCCCAATGTTATTCGTATAATAATTTTCCTATAGTATACAATGCGGATCTCTACTAATTGCTTAATATTATTTCCAAATATACCTCTTGGCTTTAGCTGAGAGTGTTGACGGCATTCGGATCATCCTTTCTAAGATGGATACAATTGTAGCAAAGGTTGGTCGATGTAGACGGTCTTTCTGCCAACAATCCAACATGAGCTGATGTACGGCCTCAGGGCAGTCCATGGGAGGGGGAAGCCGGTACCCCTTCTCAACAGCTTGTATAACCTAAAACGGAGTAGAAAATTTTTTACTTATGTACATACATTTCAATTTAATACTATTCAATATTCTAGTTCTCTGAATGTGAAAAATAAATCTCAATCAATAACACCATGCCAAATCTATGCACTTACGTCTTGATTAGACCAATTCCAATATGGCCGTTCTCCAAACGATACCACTTCCCACATCAGAACTCCGTAGCTCCATACATCCGATGCAGATGTAAACTTCTTGTATGAGATTGCTTCTGGTGATGTCCAGCGGATTGGAATCTTTCCTCCACTCTGTAAAGATTTTTAATGAAATGAGGAAATAAAATTTTTTACTCAACTAATTATTTATGTATTTCAACAAGCAAATTTGGGTTATTTTGGTAACTAGCTCTTAATAAACCCACACTAACCTTTGTTTCATACGCTCCTTCCTCCTTGCTCCGTGACAAACCAAAATCTGCTACTTTACAGACAAGTTTTTCACCAACTAGAATATTACGTGCTGCTAAGTCTCGATGTACAAAGTTCATCTCGGCTAAGTAACACATTCCGGAAGCTATTCCACGGAGTACCTGAACAAGTTGCATTAATGTCAGCTGTCCATCATTTTCCTTAGTAAAAAGAAAAAAAAAAAGATTGAAAAATTAATCAATCTATCTATAGAGATATATTCATTACAGCACTGCACAGCAAATATTTGTCGATAATCTGTCGAAAGTGACATAGGCAATCTCTGGCAACTAGTTCTAACTAGTCGCTTGTTGTACAGTTACGCGATCAGGGGTGAAAGTTCATGAGTGCCATCGGCATCTAGTTGGGTTGAGTCGAGTAGGGTGGCATAGACACAGCTCAACATTTTCCTGTGGTGTTTTTCTAAATAAGCAATACATTTGATACTTAAGTACTTGTGAAAAAGCGTCTTTATTTTTTCCAAGGAACTAGATATTATTACTTACCCTCAAATACTGATCCAAAGCACCATTTTTTATAAACTCTGTAATAATCATTGCCGGTCGAGCTAGAAAAAAAAAAAAAAAAAATAGAATTACGATATTTAGCATTCTTTTTATTTGAATTGCATCTGACAGCTAGTTGCTATATGATAATCTATAACCTAGATTTCATAGTTCCAGGCTTCAGTAATCAAGATGTTTTCTTTAATTTTGAGATGAAATCCTGTCCCTTGTGGCAAAAACATCAGTTTGAAAATACACGACAATTCTATTGTTTAGTTGTGAGAATGACACTCCATTAAGATAATAGTTGCTACCTACTTTTTGTGACTACACCCATTAGTCGTACAACATTAGGGTGATCAAATTGTCCCATGATGGATGCCTCACTGAGGAAGTCTATCTTGTCTCTCTCTGAGACACCAGGTTTCAGCGTCTTCACTGCTACCTTCCTAGTGGTGCTGTCTGGCATTCTTAAGTAACCACTGCATACATCACCAAATTCACCTAACGAACATAAAGTAAATATAATATTTTCATGAAGATGGTAGAGATTAATATATATTTCTGCTGTGATGAGAAGGTGAAGGAGCAGAAGATCAGCTTGATCAAAAACTATAGAAAGATCAACAATAAAGATAATTGTAAAGAGGATGATAAGGTAATGATGTAGATCCAGGTAGATGATGGTGGTGAAAATGGTGCCAACGATGATTATGAAGATCATGACAATGGTGATGATGGTGATCGATGACACTGATCACAATGGTGGTGTTGGTGGTAATGATGATAATGAAGGTGATGATGATGATGATGATGATGATGATGATGCCTATATCAATGAAGATAACAATATTGACAATGAAAGAGATGGTTTTGGTAACAATGATGGCGATGTTGCTAGTGACGATAACAGCACCTTACCTCCTCCTATAACTTCTACAATGCTGATCTTTGATGCCTCTATCTCGGTGGCAAAGTCTTGCACGGCCAGGTCAGGATCACTGTAGGTTTTAGGGTCAATGTATGTTCTTGGCTTGCTCATCTTGGGTAGAATGACTGAAGTATACATAGAAAACAAAAGTTAAATAAATATAGCTTTAACACCAGTATACACAGTAAGTTTTATATAATATCTTCTACCCTAAAATAATATGATACAGAAAACTTGTTATTGTGTTTCATTCAAAATTCCGCCCAAAACCTCAATTTCAGTCCATATATATTGATGACATTCCCATTAACCCAGTTTCATCTGTTCAAAGTCTTGGCGTTATTCTTGATGAAAGTCTTACGTTTGTTCCACATATATCCGCGCTCTGTAAATCTTCTTTCTTTTTTATACGTAATCTTTGGAGAACACGAAAGTTTCTTTCACGTAAATCAGCCGAAGTTTTAGTCCATGCCTTCATTTCATCTAAGTTAAATTATTGCAACTCACTTTTTATTGCACTACCCGATACCACAATTCTGCGTTTACAAAAAATCCAAAATTCTGCTGCTCGTATTGTTTCACTGATCCCAAGACGTCAACACATAACACCAGCCCTAAAGTGTCTTCATTGGCTTCCCATTAAACAATGTTGTATTTTCAAATTGCTTCTTTTGGTATATAAGTTACTTGCGTTTCACAAACCATTATATTTGTTGCATCACTTAAAATGTCATGTACCTATCCGCCATCAAAAAATCTTTTGACAGTTCCATCTCCTCGAAACAAAACCAAAACATATGGTCAACGTGCTTTTTCTGTTCAAGCTCCTCCTCTGTGGAATTCTCTTCCTTTTTCTGTTCGTAATTCGCCTAATTTATATTCTTTTAAGAAGAACTTAAAGTTTCACCTTTTTAAGAAATGTTACTGAGTTTGTTTTCTCCTGCGCCTTTGATAAATTTTTGAATTGGCGCTATATAAATGTTTATTATTATTTTTATTATTTATCTGCATTATTTTTGCAGCTATTTTGACACAAAACTTACCTCATATTATAGTATGTGTTATTTTTTAATATATTTATGTTGCCCTTGAGTCAAATTTAATATACATTAGTACAATGTAGTGGTCATAATTATGAATTGGTCACAAATTGGAATATAATTTAAAAATTCTGAGGTTGTGTTGCCAAATAGCTAACAGATTATCACTGGTTGTTGCATAACCAAAATGGGTATACTGTTACTGATATCTAAATCTTGAAGTCAGGCTTCAACATTTTTTTGATACAGTATGTTGTACAACTGATATTTCTAGGACACAAAAAGCATATTGACGAAAACCTGGATGCGGTCAATGAGATTCAGATTCTTGGATACTTAAAATTGATTGAAAAATGGGCATAACCACCTTTTTTTAAAAATATTCAAAAAAATGTGTCTCATTAATGACTCAAGTTTTTAGTCAAATATGCTTTTTGTGTCTTAGAAAAATCAGTTATGTACAACATATAAAAAAAAAATTGTTTTCCTCCAGAGTATGACTTCAAAAAAAGAAAGTACATAATTTGGGTCAAAATGGAATACATGTATGTTGTATTTCAGTGTGTGGTAATTTGTTCAATATTATGTTTATTTTTTACCCTTCAAAGCTGATTGACAGATTGAATAAATAATTGACTAATAGATTGATTGATTAATTGATAGATTAATTGAGTAACTGACTGTTTGTGTGGTTTGATACTTAAATGCCTACTTAGTTCTGGGTTCAATCCAGAAAAAACATATAAAAACAAACTCCCCAAACCTCATACATAGAGTACTAAAAAATTTGAAATATTTTACCCTCTCCGTTGGTATACACCATTCCTTCAGTCAGTGCTGGCATTTCCTTTTGTCTGTTAAGAAAAAAAAAAAACATATATAAGCTGGCGAAGGATATATTAATCTAAGAATTATCATTTATTATGACAGTCTGTAACAAAAAGATAATGTCTAAGCAGGTTGTGAAAATTGCTTAAGTCATCCATTGCAATTCAAATTTAATAGCTGATTCAAAATTACTGTACAAGAACACAGACTCATCAAATATCTCTGAATCTGGAGTACTAATAAAACAAGAGTGATTTGAGAAGGGTTGCTTGGCGCTACATGGCTCAATTACAAGATTGACATGATGTTTCTGTGCTAATTAATGAGTATCAGTAATTGGTAAAGTAACCCCTTATCTTGCTATATATAGATATCCTCTATTTTGCTAATTAAAGCACAGCACTTATATTGCTAAATCCTGTGCTAAATATAAAGCTGTTATGTTGCTTTAAATAGCACCTTATGTTGCTGATTCGTAAGTTATCCTTTATCTTCCTAAATACAGTAACTGCATAGCCTTAAACTGAACAAAAAAACATGGGTGTGGAATTGTGAAACATCAATGGTCACTCAAAATACTTGGAATAGAAAGTCAACTGATTTTGTTAAATACATCATAAATATTTTACAAAATAGAAGAGATGACAAAAGAATAAGAACATTATAGTAAAATGCTTTAATAATATTAATATTTACAATTTAAATATTAGAATCACAATATTAGACTTTTTCTAGTGAATGTAAAATCCATATTGAGGAAGACTACTACATATCTATCTGGATTAGATACTCCATACAAATTAAAATTGATATTATGTTTTTATATACTCTACGAATATGTATCTATTGTTAGCCATCTCTATCTTTTAAGCATGTGTAATATGTAAGCTAATCTCGTTAATGGAAGTTTATGACGCCCTTACACGTCACTTTGCGTATTGCTCCTGTCACAAGACTCCCATTACTTTTCTAAACCTAATGAAAACGTTAACAACTATTTTGTCATTTACAAATCCCGCCCAGGGCTACGCCTAAATCTGCATTGACGTTTGATTTATCGCTGACTGCAGTGTCCATCAGCAAACATTTACTTGGATAAAGTAGTTTGTACAATGTCGTAAATTTACATGCATTTTTGACGATAACTGTTATTAAAAAGCGCAATTTAAATTTGAACGTGCATGCTTGGAAAATACAGCGTATTTGGTCTATTTGAGCAATAACCACACATCTCTTTGCTGTGCACATGGATATATGGTGTTTTTATACCATAGTACAAATAATTCTCTGAATTCGTAAACCAAGCCTGAAAAGCGACTTAATCTAAATTAGCATGTCTGAAAGATTTCAACAAGTAACAAGTTTACGCTTAAAAATAGACATCTGACGTCACAACCAAAATGTACTTAACTGAAAACATACTAGAGTACTACGACTAATCAACCAGAATATCCAGCTCAAACCCTGGTTTGAAGGCTGCAATAAATTGCATGATTCTAAGCTGATTTTAACAGATATGTACTGGAAAATTCAAAAAATATGTACAAAAATATATATACCTAGTGTTAATGCAGCTGTAATATAAAAGTAAGAATTTAATTTTAAAAAATGACAATCATAAAGTCTGCAACCCGGGGTCTACTTAACGTATGCATCAAACAAAAGAAATAGAATACATCTTCCATACTATTTGCATGATTAAACAAATTATAAAAAATTATAATTCAACACCTTTCTTATTATTTTTTTTTTTTTTTCAGATTGCTGGCAAATATCCAAATAGGATATATCTCATACACATTGCCACCTGCTATGAGCATTCACTATTTATTTATTCTTTCTGACGAGAAATAATCTATTGAAGGAGGTTTCAACTGGCTTCTCTTGTGCTTAGGTTTATGGTGTGTATCCATTGACCAAAAGTAATAACATCGTAACAATTTTATTATTTTTAAAACTCTGCCTGAGAAATAATATTATAGATATCATATTACATCTACTCCTATAATATTCATAAAACCTTCATGGCATAAAAATTGTACAGTAATCATCTTCCTTATTACATGTACTATAAATGATTAGTTAAGCCTATTTCCCAACAAAAAAAACTCTGATTTTTAAATAAGAAGGTCTCAAAGCAGCACCGCTCTAAAATGAACGCTCTTCTCAAATAAGCGCTCTACCAGATGTCTTTCAGCATTTTTTCTTTCATAAACTACAACAAATCTGAAATTGGCCAAGATGTTGATTTTTGTGCCTTTTGTCTGCTATCGTAAAACTTCAAAAGGTGACAAATGTATAATTTTGTCAGAGCTGGTCACATTTTCACTAAAGTTGGACAGTCAATAGTTATGTTTTGTTTTAAGTTTTTGTTTTCTAGTCTCAATACCAGTGCCGTTTTATTGAGAAAAATTATCCAGAAAAAAATGTAAGATTAGAATGAATCATCAAATCTTCAGCGCATCACTAAACAATAGATTGGAGCACGTTATTTTGCATTCTTGTTTTTCAATGTAAGTGACATCCGCATGAAAGCACATTACCAACATCACATTCCCTTACTTATCATGCCAATCATCAACAATCCGCTCTTTACCATTTATATAATCTAAGAGTTAAACAAAATATAATTATAGATTAAAAATTCATGTCTCTTGTCCCCTAAACTACTCAAAAGAAGTGAGTCACTGAGCAAAGTTAATTTTTGTGCAACTTCTCACAGCTTTGCAAGGCTATGGTTATTGGCTGTCACTAACATTATCCAAATACTTAATGTACAGCCTGTCACATTAACTTAATGTTCTGGTTCAGGTACTTGCTAATTATAAGCAGGTGCTCAGAGTTCAAGGCCAAAATCATGTAAAAAAAAAATTAAAGCCTGAATATATTACTTTACATAAGTGGGAGGGTGAGGTATTATTTTTTAAAAAAAGAGAGAAACTAGCAAGGAGAGTGGCATATTGACAGTGTTAATTTCAATAAAAATAGCAAAAATAAATCACATTTTATACAACCCAAGAGGGGATTCAGAGTGCTGAGATTGTGAATTAATTCCATTGTTTCTCATGATCATAAACATCACAATTTTTGAATAATAAATCAAAAGGTGGGTTGTAAACAGACAGATACACTTATTTTTTTATAAGAACCAGTAAAATTTTGTGCAGGCTCAGTGTTCCTATTTTTGGCCAATTTCAGTCTCAAAATGTTCTTATTTTGTTCTTATGTTTACACACTTTTCTATTTAAAAAAAACTACCTTTGACATTTCACCTCAGCCTCAATTTTTTTTGTTCTTAATTTTTAAGCAATTCAGCCTAAGAGTTCTAATAAAATGTGTTCTTATAAAAAAAGAAAAAAATTTAAATGATTAATAATATGTGCTCATATAATATAGTATAGTATAATTGTATCAACCAGCTCTTCAACAAGTTCCTTTTTAAGTTGTATGAAAAAAGGGTCTCTGGTGGAATTCAACCCTGTAACGCCTTGCATTATCAAGGCTAGTCCATAATAGCGCTAGACAGTGTAGGCACCGATGTACCCCTAGATAGCGTTTGTCATACACCCGACTTTTGCACTTACATGGTGTGTAGGTCACAGCTAAGAAATCAGAGAAATAATATATGCCCTCATGCCCACATCATTACTACCTTATCAATAGAAACTAACAAGTTTCTAAATTCACTCTTGAATGTTTTATACTACTCTATAATTATAGATGAAGTTTCATGGAACAAAGTGCATTATAACTACCATGATTATGATTTTCAAATTAAAAAAAACCTAATTTGTGAAAATCTATAAAACAGATCATTGACACAAATGTGGAAACCATCAACACCCTGTTAATATTTTGAATACTTTATACTTGAATTTAAACAAAGGCGGCCTTCAAATTCCTCAATGATGAATTGCTTTAAATATTTTTTTTTTAAATTCTAATTTTAAAGTAACTTCTCATGCATTTTAATATATCACAAGCCACTATTATTTTTTATTAACACTCTGATGGCCAGGGGTTTGAAAAAGTAGTATCAGTCACTGCCAGACATTTTAGCAAATTTTAACACATTTCCAAAGCTCGTTGAGAGTGTGTAGAATACTACAAGAACTACAAACATTTTAGCTTTACAATGGTACCAAACACTTTATTCTAATCACAATCTGTGATCCGTAACAGTAAAGTAAAAATGACTCACTTTTGGACATTTACGCAATTTCGTAGCTGAGATAATTGCGATTTCATCAAAGTAAATCAATGCTGCTCTACGCTAATGTAAACAAACAAATAGTGAAATACTTACGGTCCAGACTGAATATAGTGTTCAAATTGTTATTAGTACATGTTGGAAATTACCCCATCTATCGGATTCCGTAAAAAATCCTGAAACACGGAGATCTCCGTGTTTGGCGGTCAAGTGTTGCATTACCAAACACGGATATCTTGGTGTTTGGCGGGCAGAGTGTTAATAAGTAACTTATTAATTTATACGATGATAATCACACCTGATATTGCAAGAAAAGGTTATGGAATTTACAAATTAATTCAAAGTAAAATCCCAAAGGTAATAAGCCATCCCCGAAACTATGTTAAATAACAGAAAACATTCAGGTATGAATAATAAAATAAAACAATTTATTATGGAGTAAGAGTGTTATGTGTGATGAAAATAGACTTTCTCCATACTATACTCTACTATCAATTGGCTTATCAGAGTAAACCCTATTTATATGTTGATACTGAATAAATATAATAATAGTAATTTAAATTTATCACACATACTGAATTATAATTGGAAAGGCTGAACAATTTTATGATCAAAAAGTACATGTATTTTATTTAAATGTAAAGATACAGATTAAAGTAGACATCTGAACTCCTTAGTAGTAGCCTTCAATTAAAATTATTTTACACAAACCTTTAAATTTACTGATAATAAATTTAAGGATTTTGGTAGTAAAACATCTGTATGCAAGCAATTGAATTTTTTTCCCCCCATATTTCACTACAGACATGTATATTTACTATGAATGTAGATTATCACAGAAGGGTTTATAACATTATAAGCACCTGCATATTACATTGTGCCTTAAGTAGACCAAGGATTTTAGAAAAAGTAAATAAGTCAAACTATTAAATAATAATTTATTGGTTATCGATTAAATCATTCGGTGTGATGAATTTAAATAATGATATTAATTATTGATGGTTTTATCTGGTATGCGAATACTGTAAACAGTTACAGATTTTTATATATAAATAATTAATGTACATTAAAATAAGAAAGCACTGAGTTAGACTCACTAAAAAAGATAGATTAAAAAAAAAAAACCTTTTAAACCATATAATAAAATATATACTACAAAAAATACAAGAATTCCAAACTAAAAAATAAGATATTGAAAGTTGTAGTCATATCTGTTCACATCATGTATTCTCCAGCAAATATATACTTTCTCTGGTGAGCCCACTCCTTACATTTTTTTGAGTAATTGTTAAGCAAATTTCTCTATCAGTACACACCTAACCCCAGGGATGTGGAATGGAAATTCTAGGTATATATTTTGTTAGGCCTAAAGCCTGTCTCACATTATCGCGACCTAACAATGCGACCGGAAGTAGGACCTGGCAACCAGTACCGACCACTATAATGAAAACGCGACCACCGACGACGCTCTCTCCTAAGAGAGAAAGTTGCTCATAGCAGCTCTCACATTGGTCGGTGTCGGTCGTATACCGACCACAGTGCATATGGGTCGTGATAGTGTGAGAGTTGCTTAAGTCTCCAGCTGGCCTATGTCTGAATTTTCTTGTCCTTTGGTTTAAACCCAACCTAAACTTCACCAAATTACATGTTAATTTTGGTATAAACCCACCAAATTTCATGTTAATTTGTGATGGGGAAAGAAGATGCATTTTTTATAGGCATTAAAAACAGGCTCATCCAAAATTATGCTGTGAACAAGTGTGACTGCTACTTGAAAACCAAATAAAATCTATGAATACATTTGTAAAAAGTAAAAAAAAAATAACTTAAAATATGGCTATAGCCAAGGAAAGCGAAACAAAAATAGAAGATGAAAGTATTAGGGTGGTTAGCAGTTGAGGTGGGGGAACACAAATACAGGTGAGACATTTACCCCTGTTCTCCTGGGATCATCTGTTGATATATGTAAATTGGCTCCTTCACCTTCCTCCTGATAATCAGTTAACAAAAACACATGGAAAAAAATAGATTGTTAGTCGTAGTGGTGAAATTGATGGTGCTGAGGGTCTAGTGAAGGAGTCATCGGATGAAACATGACAAGAAATGTGTACAAGACAGGTTAGTTCTAATCTATTTATAGTTTGCATTGGTGAAGATTGTGTTGGAAACAAATAGAATGATTATTCATTCTCATCAAAATCCTAAATATAATCACTCATACCATTATTATCATCATCCTCATTGATATATTAACCATCATTATACTTTTTATCATTATCATCTTCTCCATTATCAACTAGGATTTTTGAGCACACAGTTACAGCAAATCATCGTAAATCAACATTCATATAATTATCAAAGTTCCTACTTTTTGTAGAATACAAGGAGGACGACACTGCCACACAGAACCATAATGACGAGCACTGCAGAAACGCCACCAGCTAGCAGGGTGATGGTCACTGGATCGTCTTCACCTAGGCCTACAAGAGAATTACGAGAAATCAACATGTAATGAAAATCTCATATAGCTCTGTGATGCTTCATCTCTTCTGAATTATAATTTACATTTTCTCATTAGTAACCTAAACCTTGCATCAGTCCTGTGTTGAGTGATTCAGAAAATATAAACAAAAAATGAAAATACTAATGTTGCTAAAACTACTTGAAACATGATATTCAGCCTTTCTTTGCATGTGCACTCATTATTTCATACAAGTTCACTCTCAAACTGACGTATTAACCCCATCAGAATTTCACACTGCATTGTAATTTCATAAAACTCAAGTTTTAATGATAATTAATTTGATTTTCATTGTTGTTAGTAGTTGTTGTTGCTATTATTAATTTCATTTAATTTCTGTGAGTAGCACAGCTTTTGCTGCTCCCTTGCTCACCTTTTTTGTTATATGTTTGTGCAATGCTGATATTCTGTTATTGTAATATTTTTATACAATGTTGTATTTGCCAGAATGAAGAATAAATTAAATATATTTAAATATTCAGATTGTTAAAATATCTGACAAGACAACCAGGATGAATAAAATAAAATAAAATAAATTAAGTATATCTTATATATTTAAATATCTGAAAAGACAACTGTTTAAAAAGGCTTTTTACACTAGAGTAAATTAATAACTTAAAATAACAAATTAACAATTATTAATTTGGATTTTTACAGTATATTATTAAAAACAATATCAATATCAGTCAAATGTCAAGATGGTTTTAATATTTATCCTTTATAATTAAGTTCCAAACAAATATGAGAAACTGGCTTAAAGTAAATTAAGCATAACACCAAGTAAAAAATGTATTATGTCAGTATTAAATCTAGGAGAAATTATAATGCCATAGCAATATCTAGGATGGTATCATTAACTAGCCTTTAAGCCAGTAATTCCTAGCTATGCCAATCGCCATGCCAACATCAAACAGTGATTTAGGGTTAACTACTACATTGGGTAGAATGTTCTTGGACAGTGTATCATTACAGTAGTTACCAAGGACAATGTACAAGGTTCAATAATTTGACAATAAAAATAAAATACAGCATGAAAATTATATAGCAGCAGACGATGGGAATTTGGTGTGTAATAATAGCTGGAAGTGTTAGATGACTGTGGGAAATTTGAGGTAGATATAGCTTTTAAAGTCAATCATATTTTATTACATTTTCAAAAGCAGAGAGGTCAAAAGTTCACACCCTTCAATTTAGATCAAAACTGCAATCAAACATTAATTCAACCTTCACCATGACACTGGGATGGAAAAGTGGAATGGACAGAAAAAATATTAATTTTCTCTACTGCATATTCAGATGGCTTGGTTGTCATGGAAACCTGAGGATATATAACTCAAAAGATTGATTATATGTAGCCTCTGGGAGGGATCGACAGTACCCAGGGGACAAGTAACAACATACACATAAAGAATAATAATGATGGCTAATGGGTAACTGTCCATCAAGAGTTTCCTGCAGGGTTCCATTAGGCAATTTTAGGTTTTAATACAAAACACATTATAATGAATATATGACAACAAAAAAGAACAATTCTTGGACAGTTTTACAGTGCTTTTTTATGTTCATGTTAAAATATTCCGTTCCCTATCTGATAATCAAATTTAAAATGTTGTATGGCATTTTGCAGAGATATATGAGAATGTCTACGATTACTTTAACAGAAATTATAGAATGCAATCTAGAATCACAAGATTTCAAGTGGCATTCTTGTCATCACAACATTACAATGCTTGTTTATTTAATAAATTATTCTTAATGAAAAATCAGATATGAAATATCACATTTATGATTTTAAAATTAATGCTAAACATTTTAAAACAATAAATTTATTTAGAGAGCACTTAAAAATAATAAATCTGATCTAATGAAATATACTGTTTATTATTTCAAAATTTAAAGTGTGAACATGTTAAAACAATAAATAAATTTAAAGAAAGCATTGAATGTTCTAAAAAGATAAACATCATGTGCTAAGGCCTGCATGTGCTTTACATGATTAGAATAGTCATCAGATCACACAACTATGGAACACATACTCACCTCCCTGGGGATTAAACACTTATGGAACACATACTCACCTCCCTAAGGATTAAATCATTGCAATGGCATTCACGCCTAACAGATAGTTAAGTACTCTCTCGAGTGGAAAGAGAATAACGTTAAGTTAAATTTTACTTCAATCGATATAAAAAATTGAATTTAAAGAATTTAAATCAATGAAATTATTGCATTTTAAAACTTACCAGTCGTTGAAACAACAATCGGCTCAGAATAGGATCCAAATCCAACTTCAGTTCTTGCTCTCACCTGAAAACATTTGGATAATTAATTAACAAATAACTAGCATATACAAACAAAGTATAACTGCTTTATAGATATAAGGCCCAATAAAAACAATTATTAGTTTATCACCTTTGCACGTATGTCTTTTATGGTATTGAAAAAAAAAAATTTGGGGGGGGGGGGGGGGGGGGGGAAGGGGGGAGGGGGAGGAAATTTTTTTATTTATTTATTTTTTTTCAGTAAATAGTAGATGTTGTTTGCATTATCTCAATAATGTTTTACTTTGAGTATCAATGCACCAGCAAACAACCCAAAGGTGATATTTGGCTTTAACAAAATTTAAAAAAAAATTACTTTTCCAGCCTAGATAGGGTGATAAACTAATATTTTTTATATAGCGTCTAAATGATTAATTTATACATTCAAAACAAATTTGTATATGTATTGTGTATCTCCATTGGGATCGAACCCAATATTATTGATGCCATGGCTAAATTTACCAACTGACTTACGAAAAAAATTGATATAATCCCTTGGATATTTTTCATTACGACATTTTAAATTATTATATAAAACATAAAGAGATTAATTAAATAATTATAACATATATATATATATATGTATTGTATA